CTCAGCAGCAGAGAGCAGAACTCCCCTGTCTTGCGGCACAAAGGCCTGCCCTGGGTGCCGGCCTCAGTTTCCCTGGCAGATCTGCCTCCAGCCTTGTCTGCACGCCGGGGCCCAGCCCTGCCCCGTCCCAGCGCCTTAGCAGTGCCGCCACGCGGTCAACGCGGTGCAATTCCCCCCTCTCCGAATGATGGTACCCAAGTCACAGAATCATCGCATCCCAGGGCGGGAAGAGACCTCAGGAGCCACCGAGTCCAGCCCCCAGCCCAAAGCAGGACCGACCCAACTCAATCAGCCCAGCCAGGGCTTGGTCAAGCCTGGACTTAAACACCCCTAGGGATGGAGACTCCACCCCTCCCTAGGGAACCCAGCCCAGCTTTCCTAATCTCCAACCTGGACCTCTCCCGCCGCAACTTGAGCCCATTGCTCCTTGTTCTGCCACCTGCACCCCCTGAGAACAGCCTCTCTGCATCCTCTTTCACCTCCATCGTCCCACCGGGGCTGAGCTCAGCCTGGCCACTGGGCGTGGGGGGTGGGTTTTGTGCCCCCGGGAGGGTCCAAGCGAGGTGTGAAGTGCTGACCACGCCTGAGAGTCACTGAAGAGACTTTGCTGAAACTTTCCAAAATGTTCCCCCTTGGGCTGAGGCTAGCAGGGACCGTCCAGCCCCAGAAATGACATTTTTAGGACGCAGGCGAGGGCAAGGGGTCCCCGCTGTCTTGCTGGTTTTCTTCAAGCCTACGCTCCTGGATTTCTGATTACACCGGCCTCTCAGCTTTCCCTAAAACAAAACAAACCCAGGTCCCAGTGGAGAAGAGTTTGAAACTGAAGCCCCCAAAGCCAGGAAACCCAGAGGGCAAATAGACCGAGCCGAGTATTCTTTATATTTCAGCCAGTCCGATGATTGGACGGGGCATGACCCGTGTTCCCTGTAAGCCGGGAGCTTGTCCGGCCTCCCAGGAGAGATTCACCGCTGATTAGCAGGGCGTTCCCAGCTGATCACAGCCAGCAGCATGTGTGTCTATTGGTGGTGCACATCTGCACACACCTGGGCGCATGTAACAAAATGCATTCTGCACACAGGTGGAAAAACTTAGAAGGAACATTCAGCATGATGCTTAATTTTTGAACACCGGGGTGGGTGTTGCATATTGCAACCCTGATGCGATGCTCCCCCCCACGGATACCCTCCTCTTCTTACTCCTAGCTTGGT